ACGATAGAACCGAGAATTGTAATTTATTTAATTCATATTAATTTAACTATTTTACTTTTATTTAAATTTTTATTAATATTTAATAGAATACGTTTAATCTCATATTATTCTAAAATAATCAATTACAAATAAAATTATGAGTTTGTAAATTCAACTACAAATTTTATTTTAATTACCGTAACAAAAAAGAAAAAATTAAATTCCCAACAATTCTAAATACGAGTATTGGAGTGTCAAAAAAAATTCTTAAAAGTTTCCACTAAAATTTGTTAATTTGAAAATTAAATAAATATTACTTGACTAATTTTTCTCATCTTCTCTCCGTTTGTGCTTCTCCAAGTTTCTGCTCTGCAATCACACTTATGGCTTCGAATCTGCTTCTCCACTCAGCGCACTGTTTCATTTCTGCTCTCCGGTTTCTTTGTCAGCTGCTAGCTTCGGGTTCTGCTCTCTCTCTCTCTCTCTCTCTCTCTCTCTCTCTCTCTCTCTGCCCCTTTTCTTGTTTTCTCTTTTCTCCTTTTAATAGGCGACTGCAAGAGATGAGATCCTCTTTGATTTTCTTTTTAGCTGTTTCTTCTTTTTTTGTTTTGTTTTATTTTTCTTTTCAGCTGCTTCTTTCGTTTCCTCTTCTGCTTTCTGCAATTTTTTTTTTCCTTTAAAACAGCGACGTTTTGGAGGTCTGGGAATGGGTTGAACAGATATGGGCTTGGACTTCAATGGTTTAAACTTTTGGCTTCTTCTTCTTTTCTTCTTTTCTTTTCAACTTTTTTTTTTCTTTCTTCTTTAAAATAACAACCTGCATAAAAAATTTAATTCATAAATTAATTTTTCACTCAAAATTCATTCAAAAGTTCTTCTAAATTTAAGTAAAAATATTATAAAAATATAATAAAAATCAATCTCATCATTTTTTCTAAATTTCTCTTTATAGAATTGTTAGTTTCACGTTTAATAACCTTTTTTTTTTTTTTTTTTTCTAATTTTATTATCGCTTATGATCTGCTCTGAATGTTTAGGGGGTGTTGTCTTATTGCTATTGGTATGGGTTATTGGACTCTATAGACGGTGGGAGGGGCACCTAAAATAAGGGAATCAATAGTGGATTTATATTCGTAACAGATAAACTATAGCTTATGGGTAGGAACTGGAATGAGGTCTTCTTTGTGCATGAAAAAATAGGAGAACGAGAGGAAGATGGGGCTTACTCGAGAATATAGAATACATTAGTTCAATATAGTTGTTTGATTTAAGTTTATGTGGGCATAAGTTTACATGGATGAACAGAAGAGGTCGTAGTGTTACAAAATGAACTTCTTCTTCCTCAATACACACCAAATCCTACGTTTTCTAACAACAATACATTACTTCGGTAAAGTATGAGAAAATCAATGTATAGTACCTTTACTCCATTAAAGAAAATACTTATTGTTGTGCCTTAATGTCCAAAGTTGAATATCTGCAAAACAAATGGAAGAAAAAGAAAATGCCGAAAACTAGAGCTTTTGGTGTTTGCGTGAGAGGAAGAAGTCTGGAGAAGAAGGAAACCCAATTTTGGGTTTTCTATGTAGAGGAAGAAGAGGTACCTATACCTCCTTTTTTGGTGTAGCAGTAGCCAAAACGCACCATTTAATGAAACAGTGCGTTTTGGTTCTTATATGGAAGTAGCTTGACAGAATATGAGTTGCACACAGCCCATTTCCAACGAGCCTTTTAGCACGTAGAAAAAATAACATGAAATGCTAGATCAGTTTATGGTTAATCAGGATTGGAATTTTCTTCCTAATTGCATAGGTCCTAAGCATAGTTAGAACCTTATCTAAGTACACTCCTACGAACTTATCCCATGAAGATAATTTAATTATAAGGAGACAAAATAAAATTTTTTAAACTAGAAGAGGTACGATTGCAGGAACCTCATTGTAAAGCTGTCGTTGAGGAAGCACGGTGTAATCCTCTCACCAGTGGGGGAAGCATGGAGGAAGTTGCTACTAGGTGTAATAGAACTTCAAAGGCAAATGACATACTGCAACGAGGTGCTATATCAACTGGGATAAAAGGTGAAGCAGAAAACAAAAGAAGTTCTATAAATTGAATTAAAAAAGAGCTTTCTCCATGCAAAAACTACGAAGAGGCATAAGAGAAGTACAATAGAGAATAAAGAGCTGTACAGGGGAATTGAGGATAAATGTAATAAGATTAAACAATCATTTTTACCACCCAATTCTGAGAAAACTTTTGTAAGAGATACAGATTATGTGAAAAGGAAAGTTACATCTAATATGAATGTTTAATTACTGGAACAGGCATTGAGGCAGAGGTGTTTTTTTGTACTACAACGGATACATCCAACAAAAGCTCTAGATCTGGATGGTTTATCTATTATCTTTTCTCAAAATTGTTGGCATATAGTGAAACATAAGGTCTTCAATTTTGGGAACAATCATACTTTCTTAGTTTAAATAAACTGTACTTTTATCATCCTTATTTTCAAGATTAAGAAACTAGCAAGAATTTCAAATTATATAGGTAGTAGTCTATGCAATATTGTTATGGAGGTTATCACCTAATGTACAGATTAAAAGGTCTATTGGATGGCACTATTGAATCACTACCTACTTTTATCCTTGGGAGACTTATCACAAGATCCACAAAAATGCAACTTCCATTTTTGCACCCCCAACATCAACCAACCTCCTCGGACATCGAACTTTGGAGGCAGGTCATATAGATTAGTGTGATAATAACTTGGGTGCTCATTTATAGTGAACAATGTTAAAAGCAAATAATAGGTCTGCCGAAGTGCTACGACACACCATTCTTTACACGTTAGACATCCTTAGAATTTTCAAATTAAAACAGATATTGCCCCTTACACCAAAGATGTACCTATATGAACCCTTTCGATTTCCAAAGCTGTTTCATAATTTCGAAGAAAGCATTATTATTAAACATGCTCACTATATGTGTAATATACAGCAGGGTAGAAAAAAATAATAATATAAATAAATTAATTATAATGAAAAAACAAGATAAACAAAAAAATAAAAAGAAATTATATATGTAATTATTTATAAAGGAAAAAAAAAAAGAAAAATGATGTGGAAGACTTAAGCGATAAATTTATATATATATGTAAGAAAATAGCAAAAAAAAAGTGAGAAAGAAGAAAAAATATTTTGAGAAGAGAGAGGGCCAAACGATATCGGGGCCGAGAGAGTAGAGTGAGGGGAGGAGCCTTGGCCGCGTTAGGAGGAGTGAGCAGCAGTCGCGAAGGTGGGCCGCAGCGGAAGGGGAAACATCGCAGGAAGAAGAAGAAGAAGAAAAGGAAAAGAAAGAAGAAGAAGAAGAAGAAGAGAAGAAAGGAAAAAAAAAAAGGAAGAGAAGAAAAGACAGAAAGGGAGAGAGAGAGAGAGAGAGAGAGAGAGAGAGAGAGAGAGAGAGAGAGAGAGAGAGAAAAAAGAGAAAGAAGAAGAGAAGAAAAAAAGGAAAAAAGAAAAACAAAGGAAGACAAAAAAAAGGGAGGAAGGCACGGGAAAGGAGGAAGAACAAGAAGGAAGGAAAAAGGAAGGAGAAAAAAAAAAAAAAGAGAAAGAAAAGAAAAGGCAAAAAAATGAGAAAAA